GCTCGGGCTGCCTCGCCATCACTGGATGGTTGCCCTCACTACAGCTCCTCCCAAGCCAGATCTGCGAGCTTTACCGGGAACTGTCTGCACGCTCTCCAGACCTGGCTAAGAAACTATATATAATGTGTATATAAATATACATATTTATATATATATTATATATTTATATATATTATATATGGACCACCATCAGCGTTTCTTGATGACATTTCATCTTCTCCTCAAACATTGTTAAATGTCTATTTACATGCCCGACTGAAAATGTGAGGTGGACTCCTGTTAGACACTGATAAGCGTGTTTAGTAAAGCGTTTGCAGCTACGGAGAGCAAAGGACGATTACGTGAGAGGGCACAGCCGTTTGAACGGCTGAAAAGCTTTGAAAACTTGATCTGCGGGCCTCCAGGTTAATTAAATCAGAATCTCTAGAGTGGGGGCCCACGTGTCCAGAGTCTGTAAGATTCCTCCAAGTGATTCTAATGTATAGCTAAGAGGGAGAAGTGCTCACTGAGATGTAATTAAGACCGGTTCTGAACCTGGCGGGGAACAGGAACTGGGGATATAATTCAGTTGGTAGAATGCCTAGCATGCACGAAGCCTTTGGGTTTGAGCCTCAACACCGCCTGAGACAGGCGTGGTGGCACATGCTTGTCATCCAAGTATTTAGGAGGGAGAGGCAGGAGATCAGGAGTACATACATAGCAAAAGTCAAGGCCACTGGAGCTACATGAGGCCTTGTCTCAAAGAAAAAGTAAAACTAGGGTCCCTCTCCACTAATAGAGGGTTAAGAAATCCAAAATATTTAAGAGAAAATCCACCTTCCATAAACCTGAATGAAGACCTCAAGTTTCTGGGATCTACCGTAGTTGTGCTTGCACCTTGTAGCCACGTGGTGTCGCTATTGACAACAGGCCTTTCTAAAAGGTCTGTGGAAATTCAAGTCCCATCAGGGCCTCCTTGGACCTAAGGCATCAACTAAGGTGACTCTCACCAGGAGGTCCAAGGGCCCAGCTCTTAAAGAATACTGCTCTCGAGCCTGGTGAAACCACTGTTGAGTCTGAACCATATCTGCTCTGGGCAAACAACTCCCTCTATCCTCCTCCTACTCCCATCCCCAAGCCTTTCTACATCAGGGTATTCACACTAACAAAGGCTGGCAGATTTTCATTTTCCACTCCCTAATGCGGTCTTACTTCTTGCCTTTTCCTGAACAATAGGGTGACTTTACCATCCTTCTGAGTCCAGCTGTTCTAATTGCATCCACAGGCTAAGCATCCCTGGGTTATAATTATTTCGGATGTCTGTAACAGAAAACCTAATTCAAACTGTCTTAAACAATAAAGCAATTGATTAGTTCACAAAACAGAAATCCCAGAGGCAGTGGACTTAAAGATTGGTTAATTAAGTGGTTCAATACGTTTCAAAGGGTCCAGTTGCTATTAGTCTGTGCTGTTGTAAACATGATAAATTCAAACTAAAATGAGTTTCCATCTGACATGAGGAGCAACCAGAACCACATACTTCCTCTTCCGTCAGAAACTTCTCGATTTTGCTTTTTGTTTGTTTTGTTGAGACAGATCTGCAGATACACCACGCCTCCTGACCAGTAATTGCTTAGGAGATGCACAGGTGGCATAAGCCTGAGTTCCAGAAAGGAAGCCGGCAGGAGGGCACCATAATTGTAAGTGGTTTCCAAAGTGGCAATGTTTCTTCCTCAAGTCCATAGCCAATATTGGGAGAAAGACAGGAAAAATTAAAATATCTGGGATCCGATATATTTTCCTTTTATTTTATTGTCCATTCTTAAAAAAAAATACATTGGAAAAAAATCAGTCAACCTGTTTCAAATGGAGGCCCCAAACAAAGCATATCCCATTGTGATGGAAGTATTTCCAGCTGCTCTTTTAAGGCAATAGCATCCGTGAGCACCTTGGTGAGAGGCAGCTTCTGAATCTGAAGAGCCCTTGAGTGCCTTCTGAGAAACAAGGAAGCAATCTGAGACTCAGAGCAAAGGCAAAAGCTCAATGATCCCCAACAAGAATGTTTTGTGTAAGTTCAAGACCTTTCATGGTGCTTTGTTCAGACATGATTTCCTGCCATATAGCCTGGCAGGTAAGAAATGACTGTTCTCCCCATGGGTGTCCTCCCTCTGTGGAACAGATACAAACAATTCTTCAAATCCAGTATACCAGAAACTATGGAGAGAGAGACAACAGCCAGCTGAGGAATCACAGGTCACCTTGTCCAATTCCAGTGCCAGTTTCAGTGTACCTTGGGGAATGAACCCCAAACATTAAGCCCAAGTTTTTCTTCAAGCACAATGTTTTTCTAGAAATGTGTTCTCTTAACATAAACATTTCAAATCCGATGTGCCTAACTCCAAATATAAAGCCTATAACTTCTAAAGGGCTTTTGGGTCCCTGTGTAAAATAGAATAAATATAATTACTGGGTTGTTGTAAGAACTAGAGGCATATAGCAAGAACTTCATAGATTGTTTTATTAGTCTTACAAAAGATAGCTAGATTCCTTGAGTTTTATGAGAAAATATTTTCCTTCACAAAGCTGTGAGCTGTGACCCCACTAGGGTTTCCTGGTTCTCCCAACTCAGAGTTGATTTTCAGAATTAAGGACTTGAGGAAAAGGAATTCAGAAGGGGACAACTAAGTATGGGGGGGGGGGTCAGCCAAACTTGTCCCAGCTCTGGAAACTTCACCACCACCCCTCTTCATTCTTTCAGGAATCATTTATTTTGAATAAAAACATAACAAGGAAAAGGCTACAGTGAAGTCTTCCTCTTTAGGAATCTTTCAATGCAAAGCATTGCTCTTCTAGCAGAATCTCTGCAGCACAATTTGCTGAGGAATTCAGTCATATCACTTTCAAGATCTGTTACCTAATCAATAGGTCGTTTCCTCTGGTCAACTGTTTCTCTCCCAGACTGTACTTGCTTGGCACCTCGAAACTTTATCCACCATACCAATCCCAATGATGGAACAATCTTTCCTTACATTATCACCCATTGCAGAAATAAACTGTAAGATGGGACCTGTTCCCACTCCTATAACAAAATACCTTTGACTAGATAATCCCTAAACCACAGAAATTTGATGCTTTCTCTTCTGGCTGAGAAGTCCAAGACCAAAGTGCCCAAAGACTGGGAGTCTAGAGAGGGCTTGTTTTGCCCATTTCAAAGATGGTACCTTCTTCCTGCCTCCACGTGAAACCAAAGAAAACCTGAACAAATTCTTCATACCTAACCTGTTCTACATACTCTCAATTCCAGGCTTAATCTGCTTCATGTACTCCTGGCTGCCTGCTTTTAGCTGGTTTTACAAATCACCAGTTTCAGAGCTGACATTTGGGTCATTGTCATTGTTAAAGTTTGATCACGAATGCCCAAACTAGCCCTTAATCTCTTCTCTCCATGGCCTAGTCCATAAATATTCCTAAAACCTGTCTTCTCTGTGAGGGTTATAATCTTCACTGTCAGCTTGACTGAATTGAGAAATGCCTGGAGAATTAGTGAGGCAATTCTCGGTGTGATAATGGGTTCCAGAATAGATCATGAAGACTCTGACCTAACAAATGGAATAATCCCTTTATGATTCAGTCTATTATGGCTTTATCAGTAAGCGCTGGAAAGCAAGAAATGGAGCCTAGATGGAGGAAATAAGTCACTGGGAGCATGTCCTTTGATGCTGTCTTGCTCTGGCCTCTTCCTGTGCCCTCTTTTCTCTGCCTCCAGTCTGTTTTAACGTGAGCTGTCAGCTCTGCTTCCTGGGGACCAAGGTGTAAAGTGCTCCACCCATAGTATGTACTCACTCATAAGTGGATACCAGACATAAAGCAAAAGATACCCAGCCTACAATCCACAACCCCAGAGAAGCTAGAACCCTCTTCCAGAAACGGAAGTAGATGCAGAAATCTACAACTAACCATTGGGCCAAGTTCCTGGAGTAAGGAGTCAAGACCATGATGGGGAAACCCAAAGAATCAGCTGACCTGAGCTAGAGAGAGATCATTGACTCAGGTACCTGAATAAGACCGAACTAGACTCTCTGAATATAGGTAACAATGGTGCGGCTGGAGCAATCCATGAGGAATCCACTGGCAGTGGGTCCAATATCTAACTCCAATGCACAAACTGACTTAGTGGTGCCCATTCCATATGGAGAGATAACTTGCTCAGCCTAGACATGGGGGGTGGTGCCTTGGTCCTGCCTCAATGAGATGATAGGGCAGACTTAGTAGATTTCCTAGGGGGAGGCCTTACCCTCTCTGAGGAGCAGAAGTGTGTGTGGAGAGAGCCGGAGGAGGAACTGGGATCGGAATGTAAAAAATAAATTAATAAATTTTAAAAATGTTTTTGAAAGTGCTCCACCCACCATGCCAACCCTGCTGCCAACTATGGACTCCTGAGCCAAAGTCAACAGTCCTTCCTATAAATTGTATGTATCACTTTGGTCACTAACATACTTGAGGAGGCAGACGTAAAATTTGCCTCCTCATCTTCACACACCTCTAGAATCATCTCTCTTTGACAAAACCCATCTCGGTGATGGGCATATTTTGAGCCGAGCAGAACAGGACCTGGTTCCAAAACATACACCCAGTAGAAGAGGCAAATGGAACCTGTCACATTTCTTTTATAAAGGCACTAATCCCATTCATGAAGGCACAGCCCTTGTGACCTAATCACCTCCTAAAGGCCACACCTCTTAATACTTGGGTTGGAAGCCAGGTTTCAACACACAGATTTTGAAAGGACACCAGCACTAAGATGAGCATGGCTCTCAAATCTTCTAGGCCCTCAGAAGCCCTCAACATCTTCGAATGTCTCTATTCTGTTATTGGGCCTTCTGTCTGAGACCACTCGTTACTTTTGTAAGGTGGCTATCTAGGTTTGAAAAAAAAAAACATAAAAATCAGCTCCAAATATGCCAAAACATCTTCAGAATGTCCTACTCTCCTACAGTAATATTTTAGGGGTGGTATGTTCTGAGCTCTAGTACTACCCAAGCCTATTCTTCATTCAGATGTAATCCTAAGGTTGGGGAGGCTAAGGCAGGATGATCATGAATCCGAGCCAACCTGTGTTATAGTGAGTTACAAGCCACAATGGATTACACAGCAAGACTCAATTTTAAAAATTAAAAATAAATAAAAGACATTAGAAAAACAAAGCTGACAACAGTGGAAGTTTAGGAAAGGGATGAAAAGATGCATCGGAGCAGAGGGAAGAGTAATTGTCTAGCAACAAGTACCCTGCCTGCCTCCTTAAGGATGGGAATAAAGAGAAGGCAAAGGTTCTTCTTCAGAGATGAAAATCCACCTTAAGGAGTCCGAGTCTTTAAAGAAACAAAGGATGAACGCTGGAGAATTGCAAGTTTGAGATCTGTCTGGGTTACAGAGTGAGTTCAAGGCCAATGTAGGCGAATTATGAGACATCGAACATCGGCCCAATCTCCAGTATCACGATGGGGAGAAAAGGAGAGGGATGCCGGAAGGTGGTTTTTGAGAACCAATGTCACGAACAGATTTACCTTCCTCGGGCTTCAAAGCAGCACCGGTCCTAGGATTTTGCCCACTATCTTCACCCCAGCAACGGAGCCAGGCACCCTGTGAAGATGGCTCTTAGCAACGTTTGTTTTTGGGCGTTGCTCACAGGGTGGGACTTGATGATGTCTGGGGTATAGGCTGAGAAAAGCTGTGCAGAGAGCAAGGCATTAGAGTAGACAGCCACACCGGAAAGGTCAAGAACACAGGGCGGCAAGAGGCAGCCTGTACTGTTCCACGCGCATGCTCCCAGAGCTTCCAGTCCCCAAGCTGGCTGTAGGAACAAGGCTGTGCGGTCTAGAGTCAGACCCAGCACGCTGCTTTGCAAAGTGGTCCATAGGAAACAATTGCACAGGTGAGACCACAGCCCAGATTGCTGGACAGAAGACAGCTTAAAACCGTCCATCTATGGTGGCCATGCCCACCCCTCAGTAGCATCTGACCCTGGGGCCAGGAAACTTGCCTCCCTGTGGTTTTATGATACCCTACTCAAGAGGCTCCAGCAGTAGACAAAGCTTTGACCATCCCTCCCCACAAACCCTCCACCCCCACCCATTAACAAGACTTCTGCTGGTCCCCTTCCTTTTTCCAACTGGTCTCTGCTTTCACGCTTTGTTCTTTTTTGGTCTGTTTTGCTTTGGGTTTTTGTTTGTTTCTTTGTTTTAATTTAGTTTCGGCATGTAACATCCGCCTTTCTGGGTGTGGTTCCTGTGCCTCAGCATGTTGATTTTCAGTTCTATCCATCGTCCAGTAACAGCATGATTGCATTCTTCTTCATGGATAAATAATACTCCGCTGTGTTTATATAGACTTCGTTTTCTTTATCCATTTACATGTTGATTGGCACTTGGGCTTATTCCATATATTGGCTATTGCACAAAGTGCCCAAATAAATATGGGTGTATAGGTAGGTCTAGCATATGCTGAGTTAGAGTCCTTCAGGCATATAATTAGGTACACATAGTTTTTGTTATTTTGGTTTTTGTTTTGTTTTGTTTTTGAGGCCCTGGCATCTTGCTTCTCTGGCAGCTACATGGTGTCTCTTCTACCCACCGACCTTCCTTCTCTATCTTTTGTTTGGTATTCCCACCTAGGTATATTCTGCCTGGCCATTGGCTGAAACAGCTTTATTCATCAACCAATAATAGAAACACATATACATAGCATACAGAAGGACATTCCATATCAGTTCCCTCTCTCTCTCCCTTTCCCTCCCTCCCTCCTTATCCTCCCTCTCTCAGATAGTCTCAGTCTGTAGCCGGCCTGGCTAGCACTAATCATAAAGGTGTTCGGCACCAGGCCTGGCCCTATTAAATACTTTTTAGATCTTGTCTTTTGTTTTTTGGTTTTTTGTTTGTTTGTTTGTTTGTTTTGGTTTTTGAGACAGGGTTTCTCTGTGGCTTTGGAGGCTGTCCTGGAACTAGCTCTTGTAGACCAGGCTGGTCTCGAACTCACAGAGATCCGCCTGCCTCTGCCTCCCAAGTGCTGGGATTAAAAGCATGCACCACCCGATCTTGTCTTTTGATAATTGTCTAGTTTTCCCCTTTACAGGTTGGATTATTTGTTCTTTTAGATTGTTTTTGAAAACTTGATATATTCTGAATATTAATCCTCTGTTGGGTCAAGTTCTGATAAATATTCTCCCCAGTCTATATGCTGCCTCTTTCGCCTGCCGCATCATTTGCTGTGCAGAGCTTTTTAATAGCACAAAATTCCATTTGTCAATTCTTTTTAAAACTTTTACTTAGATTTCTTTTGCGTGTGAGTCTTTTGCCTGTATATATGTCTGTGCACAGATGTTCATGCCTGGTGCCCACAGAAGTCAGAAGAGGGTATCAGATGGTTGTGAGATTCCATGTGAGTGCTGGGAATGAAATCCGGGTCCTCTGCAAGAGCAGCAAATGCTCTTAACTGCCTTGTGAGTGGCAGGATTCCAGGCATGCTGAACTTATGTCTTCTTTCTTGAGTTCATCAGTGACCCACTACATATTCAAGGCTGTATTTATGGTAGTCTTAAATACTTATGTGCATGTGTTAGCTCATGCCTGTAATCCCAGCATGTAGAGACTGAGTCAGGAAGAATGCTACATGGTAAATTCTAGGGCAGCCTGGGCTACAGAGTAAGATCTCGTCTCTAAAACGCATGTATATTGCTCATCTCCGTGTACTCCTGTAATTTCTGCAGTTGCCTTGCTGCTTATTCCTAGTTTTAGTCCATTGTAGTCTGATATAATAAAAAGAAATTACTTTAATTTTGTTGTATTTGTTAAGACTTGTGGCCTTAAAAAATGATATTTTAAAGAAATTCTAAGGGCTACTGAGAAGAAAATGTATTCCACACAGGCCCACACACACTTATGCACATGCAACACCATATGGACAAATCTTTTAAAAGATATGAAAAAAACAAAAGGTAAGCAAGATAAATAATAAAATGAAAACATAAAAGACTGAAAAAAAAAAGAAAAACCAAGCCAGGAATGGCGGCTTCCAATTAGCTCAGGAAGCTGAGGCTAGCCTGGACTGTAAGTGAAACTTGTCTAGGAAACAAACAAACAAACAAACAAAAAACCCTGAAAGCAAGTGAGACAGACTACCTCAAACACTTACCCCGAAAAGTGATAGGGATTTGCCTTAGTAGAAGAGTGCTTGCCTGACATGCACAAGGCCCTTGTTGTTTTAATTATTATATTTTAAAGGGGGTGGGGCCTAAAATATACTTGAAATAAATGCACTTAAAGGATGGACTTTAGAAAAAAAATTTTGAAGGGTGACAAACAACAGCTTCCTTTTGGTCCTGTATTATTGGCATCAGCCAGGGGAAAGGGTAGTGGGTTACAGCTGGACTCTTTTTTCGTTCCTGGTGTTAAAACTGGTGTGCTGGGGATAGTACAGGTCAGGATGGATTCCTTCCTTCCTGTACCTGAAGCCACTTGTAGTCCCAGTCAACTTTGTGGCCAGTGAGTCAGGTAGGTTCCCAAAGGCCTCTTAGTTGCTCATTCCTGAGTAGCAGTGTATCTGAATGTAGAAGAAACAAACAGAACACTGGGATATGCGCAGGACAGAGGACACTGAGAGAACCTAGCACTCCTCCTGTTTTAAGGTCTGCAGATCCCACTCAACAGGAGCCAGGGCACTTGGGCTGGGCTTGGAGCATTCTTCCCTCTCATGCATGGTAGGGAGGCTGTACCAGATGCCAAGCAACAGTCTCAGGGATGTCACTCCGCACAGTAATTTTAGGTCTTCCCTGCCATGGAGGGCAGGGCCATCAGCTACTACATCAGTCATCACCAACACACTACTACTTTTCAGTGAATCCACTGACTGTGCTATGTTGTGGTTTGGTTTGGTTGATTTGGTTTACACTGGGTCTCTGGTGGTGTCACTGTATCAGAAGATGATCTTGAACTCCTGATATCCTCCCGCCTCTACCTCCCAAATGCTGGAATTGCAGGTATGTGCCACCATGGCTACCTAGGACAGTATCCTTTGAAAACAGGTTCAAATAAACAGTGACTTGAAAAGCTGAAGCCTGACATTTATAGGGAAAGTCCATGGCTTTGAACAAATAAAGAACACAGCCACTGCAGAGCCCACAAAACCACAGACTCATGTTTTTGTTTTTGTTTTTTAATGATCTGTGAACAAGTGTGTTGGTGTGTGTATTATGAAGCAAGTGTGGAAGACAGAGGACAACTTTGTGGAGTCATTTCTCTCCTTCCACACTTACGTGGATCAAACTCCGATCATCAGGCTTGCAAAGTAAGTTGACGCCAGCCTGAAATACACAGCAACCACCCCCCTTGCCAAAAAAAAAAAAAAAAAAAAAAAAAAGCAAAGAAAAAGAAATCATCTAATCATCTGTTATTTTCATCTTGAGAGGATTAATTGGATATTCGTTACTGTTTTAGCCCATTTTAATGGTTTCATCTTTATTTCCTTTGCCCTCTTTATAGCCTGGGGAAAATGACAGACATTGTAGCTATTTGGGATGTTATTTTAAGTGATGGAGCCCACAAGATTGAATTTGAACATGGGACCACATCAGGAAAACGAGTTGTATATGTGGATGGGAAGGTAGGAAAACGTAATGTGACCTTTAAAATATGCCACAGAGAAGCTCACGTTCCTTCATCTCTCCCTCTCTCCCTCCCTCTCTCTTTGAGACAGGGTCTCTCTCTGGGTGTCCTGTAACTTGCTACATAGACAAGACTGGTCTAGACCTCATAGAGAACCTCCTGTCTCTGTCTCCCCAGTGATGGAAGTAAAAGCATGCAAGACTACCCCAGCTTGCTTTCCTAAGCATTTCTATTTATTTATTTATTTATTTGTATGTGTAAGGGTGTTTCGCCTTATGCATGCATGTGTACCACATGTGTGTCTGGGGTCCTCTGAGGACACAAGAGGGTATCAGATCCCCTGAGCCTGCAATTATAGACAGTTGTGAGCCACCGTGTGGGTGATGGGTATTGAACTTGGGTCCTTAGGAAGAGCAGCCAGTGCTCTTAACCTCTGAGCCATGTCTCTAGCCCTGAAGCTTGGTTTTATCAGCATAGCATCTCCACATATAAAGTCAGGGCTTTTTTTCTCACAATGGTTATTCTTTTTCATCTATTTATTTTTCTGTATAAAGCAATCTAGTGAAGTTACAGAAGAATAATTACATAAAAGAACATGAAATCTTCACAGAGAAACCCTGTCTCAACTACAAACAACAAGAATATGAAATCTGGTATTTAAATTTAAAACGACTTTGAATTTTCAAACAGGGTCTAAGTAGCCCAGGCTGGCCTCAAAGTCACAGAGATCTACCTTCATCTGTCTCCCAAGGGCTGGGATTAAAGTTATGTGCCTCCACATATAGAAAAATGATTTTTAAGAAAAATCTTGATATAATGAATTCATAAAGCACAAATAACATTGGATTTTAATCACTGTCTTAGTGTTTTATCGTTGTGAAGAGGCATCATGACCAAGACAACTATTATAAAAGAAAGTGTTTAATTAGAGATTGCTTATAATATCAGAAGTTTAGTCCATTGTCAACATGGCAGGAAGCATGGCAGAAATGGTGCTAGAGAAGGAGCTGAGATCCACAGGCAGCAGGAAGAGAGAGTGAACCACTGGGCCTGGCATGGGCTTTCGAAACCTCAAAGCCCCACCCCCAGTGATTATACTTCCTTCAACAAGACAACACTTGCTAATTCTTCTAATCTTTTCAAATAGCACCACTCCGTGGGGCACCAAACTTTGAAATATATGAGCCTATGGGGGCCATTCTTATTCAAACCATCACAATCAAGCAGGCAGTGGTGGCACACACCTTTAGTCCCAGCACTTGGGAGGCAGAGGCGGGTGGATCTCTGTGAGTTTGAAGCCAACCTGATCTACAAATCAAATTCCAGGACAGCCAGGACCGTCCTACAGAGAAACCCTGTCTCGAAAAACAAAAACAAACAAGCACCTTGACGTTTTTATTTCTTAAATGTTAAATATTAAAATTCCCTCCATTTGTACGTTTTAACCTATTCTATTTTATCATCTAGGAAGAGATAAGAAAGGACTGGATGTTCAATTTAGTGGGCAAAGAAACCTTCTTCGTTGGAGCAAGAAAAACCAAAGCCGCCATACGTATACTGTCTGGCAAAGGTTTTGTTTTTAAATATATCCTGGAAATTGAGGGGAAAAGCTTCAGAAAGTATGTGGAGAATAGATCAAAGACCACCAACACCTGGATACTGCGCTTGGACGGCAAGAACTTTAGAATTGTTTTGGGTGAGTCAGGGCTGTTTGTGAGGAATGGGATGGATTTTTTAAAAAAGATTTATTTATTTATTATGCATACAGTGTTCTGCCTGCATGTATCCCTGCACACACCAGAAGAGGGGACCAGATCTCATTGCAGATGGTTGTGAGTTATCATGTGGGTGCTGGGAATTGAACTCAGGACCCCTGGAAAACAGCCAGTGCTGTTAACTTCTAAGCCATCTCTCCAGCCCCCAGATTTTTTTTAATTAAAAATTCATAAGATATATTCTGCAGTATATTCTGGTCACGGTTTCCCCTCCCCCATCTTATCCCAGAGCCTCCCCACCTTGCCACCCACCCAACTCCATGCTTTCTTTATCTCTTTAGAAAACAAACAGGTATTTTTTTTTTTTTAGAAAAAGCACACAAAGCAGAATATAAAATTGGAAAAATCAAAAGAAACACACACACAGACACACAAACAAAATCAGTAAGAACACAAAATTGGAAACCATAATATACAAGCCAAAAAAAAAAAAAAAAGCCTGTAAGATTTAAAAAAAAAATGAGAGAAAGAAATATGAGGCAACAAATCTATAAAAACACTACTGAGTGTGTTTTGTGTTGGTCACCTAGTGCTGGGTATGGGGCCTATCCATAAGTGTGGTTTATATAGCCAGTGAGACTCCATTGGGAGAAGACTGATTTTTTTTTTTCTTTGCAAGTAGTTGTCAGTTGGAAATCACTTCCTGTTTAGGGAATGGGACATTGTGTTCACTTCCCCTTCTCAGTTCTGTAACCCCATCTGGTTTACAATAGGGTATGCAATCCATATTAGATTTTTTTATAGCGATTATTTAATTGTTTCCTCCAAAGAGTTAAGTGGGGGGTTTGAAAAAATTCAAGAGTCATGTTTTCCTCATGCATCCATGTGAGCAGGTCACCATTCAATATTCCATCAACCCTCATAAAAACAAAAATCAGAACAAAACTCAACACATACACACAGGCGGTAGTGCTTACGTATATATGTACACATGCAATTATATTTGTACCTGTATGCTTGGGTGCTCAGAAATGCTGAAATGGGGTTGCAAATAGATGGGAAACTGTTGGATGTCAGCAGAGAGGTAACCCCCCTTGCAGGCAAGATCCATTTGCATTTCTATGGACAAAAGTTAGTTTCAGTACTATCATTAGTATACAATTGTGAACCATCTCCAAGCTACAAGGTGGAGGCAGCAGTAAAGGGGATTCGAGCACAGAACAGCAAGAACCAGGACCAGAGCGGTGGCTCGGCAGTTAAGAGCACACACTGCTCTCTCGGAGCTTAGATCCCAGCACCCACATCTGGTAGCTCACAACCACCTGTACCTCCAGCTCTAGGGATACACCACCCTCATCTGGCTTCTGAGGGTACTTTACTCATGCGACATACAAATACACATAATGAAAAACATTTTTAAATCTTTAAAAAGAAAATAACATCCAGGCCTGGTGGTGCACCTTTAATCCCAGCACTCAGGAGGCAGAGGCAGGAGGATCTCTGTGAGTTCAAAGCCAGGTTGGTATACATAGAGAGTTCCAGGACACCCAGGTCGTATCTTGAGAAATAAAAAAGTTTTAAAAGTTATTTAAAGTTATTAATAAGGTAAGCTTTCTTTGTAGGTGATGAGTATATGGCTTCATTAGATGAGAACCATAAATTCCAGCTGAAGGATTTTTTAAAAAATGTTATCCTATTTTCTTTCCTGTTGTGAAAAAAACTGTGACCGAAAGCCACATGAGGAAGTAAGGGTTTCTTTTAGCTTGCAGGTTACAGTCTACCTTGAGAAAAGTCATGCCAAGAACTCAAGACAGGACCGTAGAGGGTAGGAATCATGGAAGAACACAGCTTGCAGGCTTGCTCCCTCAGATCCTTTCTTCCACTTGTACCAAAAAGCAAGACATTCTGTCACAGACATGGCCATAGGCCAGTCTGACCTAGGAAATTCTTTAACTGAGGCTCCCTCAGATGACTAAGGTTATGTCAACTTGGCAGCTGACGCTAACTAGGACAAATGTTTATATGTCATCTGTATTGTGTGTATGATGTATGTGTAACACGTGTACATTGTGTGTGAGCACTCTATGCTGCCATGTAGAGGTCAGAGGACAACCTCAGCTATTGAGCCTGGCCTTCCACCTTATTTGAGACACGTCTCTTTATTGTTTGCTACTGATACAGCAGGTAAGACAGTCCGAAAGCTTTAGGAGATTCTCCTGGCTCTGACTTCCATCTTACCATAGAAAGATGGAGATTACAGGTCCAAGACACCCATGGGAGCTTTATGTGGGTTCCAGGGATTCCAACTCCTGTTCTCATGCTTGCCTGGCAATTGTTTTGCTTGCTGATCCTTCTCTCCCACCCAGTGGGTTTTTTAAAACTAGCCTCCTCACTTCTAGTTAGCCTTACTACTTCCTGCTCCCATTGCTAAATCAAATTTGTTACAGTCATGTTAATTCTCTGACTCATTTATTTAATAATATTTATTAACTATCTCAAAAATAACAGTGTACCAGAATCAGGTACTGAGAATACAGAAATGTCCAGGCCTTTCCATTCTGTTGTGAATTTGAATGCTAACTGATAGCTTTTATTAGTTGATTTTTAAAAAACTTTTAGATTAGCATACAAAATATTAGATATCATTGTGACTTTTTGTTTGTTTGTTTGGTTTGGATTTTTTGTTTGTTTGTTTGTTTGGTTTGTTTGTTTGGCTTTGAGATAGGGTTTCCCTGGATAACAAGCCTGGCTGTCCAGGAACTCACTATGTAGACCAGGCTGGCCTTGAACTCACAGACCTCTGTCTGCCTCTGCCTCCCCAATACTGGGATTAAAAGTGTGTGCCATCACCATGACCTGGCTGAACAAAGTGACTTTTTAAAAAGCTTATTTATTCTTTTTTATTTTATGTTTATGTGTGAGTAACTATGTATGTATGTATGTATGTATGTATGTATGTATGTATGTATGTGTGTGTTTCTTGCATGCCTGGTGCCTGTTGAGACCAGAAGAGGACACCAGATCTCCTGGAACTAGAGTTATAAGCCACTATGTGGGTGCTGGGCAATAAACCTGGGTACTCTACAATAGCAGCAAGTATTCTTAACTTCTCTTCAGTGCCCCACCCCTACCCCTTTGAGGCAGGGTCCCACTGTATAGTCCTGACTGACTTCAAACTCATAGAGATTTAAGAGATTCAAACTGGTCTCTGGCTGGGTGGTGGTGGCACAGACCTTTAATCCCAGCACTTGGGAGGCAGAGGCAGTTGAATCTCTGTAAGTTCTAGACCAGCCTGGTCTACAAAGTGAGTTCCAGGACAGGCTCCAAAGCTGCAGAGAAACCCTGTCTCAAAAAAAACAAAACAACAACAAAAACAACAACAACAACAAATCAAACTGGTCTCTACCTCCCAAGTGCTGGGATTAAAGGCATGCATTAACAAAGCAGCTTTTTTATTTATTTAATGAAAAAAGTTTATTGAGCCTATAATCATACTACTAAAGAGTTTGAAGTAGAAGTATTGACTGCAAGTTCAAGGTCGGCTTGATCTACATAGTGAGCTCCAGGAAGCCTATACTACAGAGTAAATGGAGGGGAGGGGGAGGGATGTCCTGGAAATGTAGTTCATTTGGCAGAGTACGTGCCTAGAGTTCAGGGAGCCCCAAGTTCTACCACACACATTAATAAACCTTTATTATTGTACATGGCTGTAATCTCAGAGAGGTATAGACAAGAGGATCTGAATTTCAAAGTCATCATCCAGCCCTTCCTTGCCTCCTGAGAGCTGGAGTTACAGGCACGTACCATCATACCCAGGTTTTTCTTATTTGGGTTATATAGTTGGGGGGGCAGAATCTGACACCCTCTTCTGGCCTCTGTGGGCACTTGGCACACAAGTGGCACACACAGACATATGTGCAAGCAGAACACCCTTACGCATACAAATGAAAACAAATACAAAAAGTTAACTTTGAATGCAGAATTATAACATTTAAATGTTATTACTTTTACAGAAAAAAACACTATGGATATATGGTGCAACGGTAAAATAATAGAGTCAGCGGTAAGTCAGCCTTTATCTCTTCCTAGTGCATGCGTATAAGTGACCAAATGGCACTGCATTTCCTCATTCTAAAACTTCTTTTGTCCTGTGTAGCCTAGGCTAACCTCAAATTCAATCCTCTTGCCTCAGCCTACTCAATATTGGGGTTGCAAGTGGGAACCACCACAACTGAGCTCTGTGTCTGGTGATTATATAATTAACCAAGGTAATCTTAGTAAAACCAAAAAGCATAGGAATTGTCTTTTACTCCAAGTTCTGAAAAATCTTTGCCAGACATTCCCTGGGGCTATTGGAGACTATCTGCAGTCTAAGCTGGCACAGCCACACACTCCACCTTGCCTCTCCTGGCTAGACTTTTACCCTGAGCCATGTTCACATTAAAAAGTTCCTTCCCCAAGAGCTGCTGTCTTCCTGGATTTGCTCCTCTAGAAATCAAGTGTAGCCTTCCCCTAGAAGCTGATGATATGAGAACTCTAGCTTTCAGCCCTCTGTCAATGCTGCTGCAGGAAGATCACACGTGGGCAGGAACGCTTTGCACATATCCTCAGAACCACAGGGTACTTTCCTAAAAGTAAGGACTTCTTTGTTGTTGTTTGGTATTTATTTATTTATTTATTTATTTATTTTGAGACAGGGTTTCTCTGTGGCTTTGGAGGCTGTCCTGGAACTAGCTCTTGTAGACCAGGTTGGTCTCGACTTCACAGAGATCCACCTGCCTCTGCCTCCTGAGTGCTGGGATTAAAGGCATGCGCCACCAACGCCCGGCTGTTGTTTGATTTTTAAAGACGTAGTGATGTTCACAGTGTCAGATGACATGAAGGTAAACAGCAAAGGGCATTGTCACAAAAGCCAGAAGACAGGTGGAATTTGTAAACTAGTATTGTCAAGGTAGGAGAGAAGACACTCCCCACACACAGATGCCAAGCATCCTGCAAAAGCCATGCAGGCTTTGCCCTCAGGGATTGGGATCCTTGTGACTTGGAGGGAAACGAATATAGGAGTGAATTTCAAACAGAAATGAATTAACATGGTGGCACAGGGAATGCGGGACCAGGAGCTGAAGTCACTGGGAAGAAACTCTGTGTCTTGGGGTCTTCTGGAAGTGTTGTCCCTACTGCCCATGTTTGTGCTCTAGGGAGGAAGGCCCAGGTTGGCAATGGTGAGCAGCTAGCTCTCTGCTCTGCTCTTGTTGGAGAGTGTAGTTGCTCCCATTACAGGTGTAGGAAGGCGAGTTAAGGCGCTGAGAAGAAAGGTTGCTTTGGGGGTAACTACTCAGTTGATCACCTCGAATCTACTCGATCTCATAACTGCCTGTCTGAGGAGGTAGGAATCCAGTTACAAAGATGGATGCATTTTCATTTCTTTTGGGAGAAGGGGGTAGGAGGTTCTAGACAGGGTTTCTCTATAGCTTTGGAGTCTGCCCTGGAACTCACTCTAGATCAGACTGGCTTCAAACTCACAGAGATCTGCCTTCCTCTGCCTCCCAAGTGCTGGGATAAGGGCGTGCGCCACCAATGCCCTGCAGGTTATTTTCATTTCTTAAGCCTGGCAGATGTAACCTAGTCTCCTGGGCTTTGTCTCTGAGGGACATTCCCTGGAATAAACCTGCTGAGAGAAGCCTTCTTATGCAGAGGTCCAGAGAGCTCTGCAGGCTGTAAGGCACCTGTAGAAAAGCAGTCATTACCATGCATGTGGTCAGGTACCTACTGTGTGCTAACTATACCAGACCTAGTGTTCATTCTTCTCCGTGTAAGTCTCTAGGTAGTCAGCACTTTGCAACCACATTTCCTCCACTCTCAAGGTTTCTCTAGAACAACTGAAAAGAAGGTTGTTTTATGGCATTAAGGATGTGTTTTTAAGAGCTGGGCCTGCAGTGCTTGAGTACAGCACTCACCTAACACATGTGAGCTTCAGGGTTCCATACCTCCCACTGAGGGAAAAGCGGTTTTAAATAAGGTAAAAATCATGTTCGCCCCTCCATGTCTTTGTTCCTTACTAACTGACAGGAAACCGGTGTGGAAAACAGTCCTTTGTAATCCAGTTGTCTCCTCCTGGTAACTATAGGCTGGCTGCAGAGCAGAGAGGATACTGAGCTAGCTAACCCAGCAGCCTATCCCAGTATGTACATCCCTGCAACAAAATGCTCCAGTTGCCTGCTGGTTTCTCCTTTGCATTTTTTTTTATGGGGTTTTCAAGACAGGGTTTCTCTGTGGCTTTGGAGGTTTTCCTGGAACTAGCTCTTGTAGACCAGGCTGGTCTTGAACTCACAGAGATCCGCCTGTCTCTGCCTCCTGAGTGCTGGGTATAAGCCACCACGACCCGACTCTCCTTTGCATTTTGATCCCTAAGTAGTATCACCAAAATTATGCTTGTCAAGTAGCCAAGAAGCAATTTACAGGGATTGTGCCTTCAAAGGCTTTTCCAAAGCTCAGTCAGTATAAACGGGGCAGAGATCTCTGCACTCAAAGATGTGGGTGAGTCAATGTTCAGTACATATCTCTTCCCTTCAAGAGCTCTATCTGCTTGGCCTCTGTTATGCTCATAGTCAAGGAGTGTGGATGGGGGTGGAGGAGGGTGCGTGTGTATTTTGTTTGTTTGATTTTTCAGTGCTGAGACCAAACACAGTGTGTTATGACTGCTAAGTGAGCTCCCAGCCTGTCTACAGACAAGTGTCAAGGCATTGGTTATGGTTTCGTTGATTTCCATCTACCCTGTAAGGCCTCCTCAACCTTCCTAATGCTTTAGCCCCCTTTTTTTTTTAAGATTTTATTTATTTATTATGTATACAGTCTTCTGCCCGCATGCCAGCAGAGAGCACCAGATCTCATTAAAGGTGGTTGTGAGCCACCATGTGGTTGCCGGGAATTGAACTCAGGACCTCTGGAAGAACAGTCAGTTCTCTTAACCGCTGAGCCATCTCTCCAGCCCCATTTATTTATTTATTTATTTATTTATTTAGCTTCAGCCCTTTAAATGCATTTCCTCAAATGGTGCTGACCACCAACCATAAAATTATTTCTGTTGCTACTTCATAACCATAGAATAGGATTCTATTTCAAAAAACAAAACAAAACAAAACAAACAAAAAAAAAGGAAAGGTGTAGCACGATAAATAAAAGACCTAGAGACAGATTTTGAGGTTCAAGCTTCAAACTGAAGATCAGAAAAGCAAAGCAGCCAAGCCAGTAGATCTTACCTCTACCAAGCTGAAATAGCAATCCTGTCTCCACGAATCCTCAGAGGCAAAAGCTCTTCCTGTCTCCTCTTGCTTATACTCCTTTCTCTGCCCAGCCATATCACTCCTGTCTCCACCTCCCTAGTGTTGGGATTAAAGGTGTGTGATCCCAAGTGCTGAGATCATCTTTGTGTGAGCTATTTTTTTTTTTTTTTTTATGACTGGAGCAAGCCGGTGTTGTCATTGTGACTTTGAACTAACAGAGATCCATGTACCTCTTAATCTTGAGTTCTGGGATTAAAGGTGTGTAGCGCCACTGTTGGTCTCTATAGCTTGAGGCTGACTTTGCTTTCTGAATCGTCATGCAAGCTTTAACAAATCATAAATAATACATCACCACAGAAGGAATTATAATTTAACATGTAATCAACAAAGGAATTTATTAGTGAGTTATATACATTTATAGGTTTCAGATCAGGTATAGTTTCAGATCAGGTATGTATTTTAAACTTAAGGTATGGATTTCATTTCTAAGTAGACACATTTCAAGTACTCAATAAATTTAGTGGTCTGGTTTTCATTACTAAGCGTGTATTTTATTACAAATTACCTTATAACCCAAAGGAAGCAGAATTTTGAAGTGGTTGAGAGTAGTCTCCTTGAAGAGTGGCACTTTCAAGTCATCTGCCTCTGTTTTCTTGTCTGTCAAGTGGACATACTTTTATGGTGATCATTGTAATGATAAAATTAAGTGGAGGCAAGAGGATCAGGAGATTAATGCAGTGAGCTCTGGCTTAACGTAAACTTGGCTACACAGTAATATTTCAAAAATCAAAATAATTAATGAATATGAGGAAAGGAAGAAACTCAGTTTGTAACAGAATCATAAAGGTATGTAAACACAAACTTCAAACTCTGAGTCTGCAACCCTTAACATTTTACAAACGTATTATTTCATTATACCACCAGTACTTTTTAGATTTCTGGACCACTGATGCTTCCTCCCTTGCTGTCCTAGGGCGAGTTTGTAGATGATGGAACTGAAACACACTTCAGTGTTGGGAACCATGACTGTTACATAAAAGCTGTCAGCAGCGGGAAGAGAAGAGAAGGGATTATCCACACACTCATTGTGGATAACAGAGAAATCCCAGAGATTATCCAGTGACTGCTTGTTAGTGGGTTCTGAGCTGAAGAGGAGACATCAGGACTTGCTAATGGCTGTGGTAATTAAATGGGTTCACTGTATACATATCAGTAAATTTAGTCTGAAATGTTTTTATCTTTATCTTTTGTTACTTGAAACTGTAATATTCCAATGGTCAGAAAAAATACACGGAATCTTAAAAGTTACAGTTTTAAAATTTTTATTTCTATTGTATTTGAATACATGCTTGCATACCACAATGCATGTATGGAGGTCAGAGAACAGCTATCTGGAGTTGGTTCTCTCCTCCACCATGTGGGTTCTGAGGGTTGAACTTAGGTTGTCAGGCTCAGCAGCAAGTTTCCCATAACTGAGGCCCCATACTTCATCTTTTAAGTGATGTAAACATGTTTTAAATTTAAATGGAAAATAATAAAGAGATCTAAATGAAAGACATTGCACATCAGTAATCTTCACTGGAGTGTGCCTTGTAAAATAAAACCTATGTTGTACCCCATGTGTTTCTAAAATGAACTTGTCTGTGTACCTTTTCTCCTGTGTAGACAGGTTGCTTCAACATTAAAGCAGGTGGTTCATAATGATATGTCCAGGGGTTTGTTGTTGTTCTGATTTTTAAAAACAGATTTTCTCTTTGTAGCCCTGGTTGTCCTGAAACTCACTCTGTAGACAAGGCTGGCCTCAAACTCAGAGAGTCCCCTGCCTCTGTTTCTTACATGTCGAGATTAAGGGTGTGTGCCACCACCGCCTGGCTGATATATCCAATTTAACTGGAAAAGATGTCATTTTCTGTCTGAAAACATCAAATAGTGTCACATAACAATTTCATTTAAAACTATGCTTCTAAAATTGTCATTGTTTAATTAATGCCATGACAAAAATACAAGAAGAAAAATGGCAAGCCTGTTTACACCTGTTATGTTACCTTTCCTGGGGGGCGGGGGGGGGGAGATAAAGAAATACCCATTTACCTGATGTAGCACATCAACAGACCAAAGGAATGATTCCATTTGAGGTCAGCTGAATGAGCCTAAGAGCTTATTGACATTACCTGCAGGACCGGGGTGACTCCAAAGTTACTACATCACGGGTGTCCTGGCTCCCTGGTAAGCCCACCACTTCCTCTGCTCTAGTGCCTTATAGCACAGTGAATCAGGAGACAAGCACAGCTGGAATCTCAGATGAGAGTCTTCTGACACTTCCTCATTTCTTCTACAAAGGAATGTTAACCACCCCCATTGCCAATGCTGTAGATCTGACTCTAACTGCTTGCTTATTGTTTTCATCACCATGACTTCCAACCAAGAGACCGTGTAGGTGACCACAGCCACTTGGCTTCACAATGGCCATCTCTCTCTCTCCCTCTCTCTCTCTCTCTCTCTCTCTCTCTCTCTCTCTCTCTCTCTCTCTCACACACACACACACACACACACACACACTAGCTATACTGCAAAAACCCCAGTCTACATCAGACAGGATGCATCTTTAGGTGGGGTTTCAAAGTCAGCACTTACCCATCTGTCAGCTCAGCAGCAGGATGGGTGTCCCTGTGACAGAGTGGAGCCCCCCCCCCAAGGCAAACTCCTGAAGAGGCAGTGTGATAAGTGCTCCAGCATGGTTTGTTTCCCTCCCATTCTTTGCAAGTCTTTCAGGTGCTTGGGAGCCGGAACACGGGGTTTTATTCTTGAGTCTCCTTACAGGAGAAGACACTGTTATGGAGAGATGTTCTTGGTCGCATGCTTAGTTTCTTAAGAACAATTACAGGCAGGCATAGCACAGCCTCTACACAGACAAGTGGACAGTGGAAATTAACTGCACCTCCACCAAGAAGCCCTGGTAAGAGCATTTAGCTTGGCTACAGATGTGTTGAACTCTGCAGAGCATTGTGTGAGGCCCAGACATGAATGGAATGACCCTCACACACCTCTTTGTAATGTCAGGGAATTTCTGGGTTGAAGAATCAGTTTCTTGCTAAGTGGATTGTGTTCACTGCCTGTTTCTCCCAACTTCAACGCTCAAACCACTGAGAATTTCAAATGGAGTCTATGGAATTAGACTTCAGGTATTTTTTTTCGTTGTTTTGTTTTTAAAAATAATTTTTGTACCAATTTTTTAAATTATTTCATAGTCCTATTTAAATGTTTTTAAAACTAAATTTATATGGCTCAAATGAATCACCCTCTGCCTGTAAAAGTCACATATAGGAGCATGAGATTACTTATACACAGTACAACCAATGCAACCTTAAACATTTTATATAGACATTTAAGAAGTGGGATCGCAATCGGGAGGTGGTGGTGCCTTTGATCCCAGGACTCAGGAGGCAGAGGCATGTGGGTCTCAGTGAGTTTGAGGCCAGCCTGGGTTATTATAGCAAGTTCTAGGCCAGTCAGGACTGCATAAGGAGTGGCAGAGGAGAAGATAGATAAAAAGATAAGAAGAAAGCTGGGGGGGTGGGTGGGGGGGGAGGTTTGGGAAAAGAAGTGATGGCAGGGTGTGGGGGTGTAACAGGGAAATGGGGGAAGCAAATGAGAACCAAGTAGAATGACATTTATGCGTAAAAATGCTGTGATAGCCTTTCCGAGACCGACTCAGGAACTAGGTTGTCTCGCGCGATAGTCTTGCCGGCAAGAACCACACAGGACATTCGGATCCTTCTGCAGCAAAGCTTTAATGCGTCTTGAGAGGAGAGCATCA